CATTAGTTTTATGTATTTTATATATTTTCAGGGTTCCACGTGTCATCAGTGCCGCCAGAAAACTGTTGACACAAAGACGTGCTGTCGCAGTGAGGACTGCCATGGGATTCAGGGTCAGTTCTGCGGGCCGTGCCTGAGGAACCGATATGGAGAGGATGTCAAAAAAGCGCTGCTTGATCCGGTCAGACTGATGATACCCCAACACTGAGTGTGCAAAAGCAAAAAACTGTTCATCTTATACACACACTTAATTATTAAAGTTTTGTATAGAGATATTAGGACACGGGTCATGTATAAAATTATAACAAAAATGAAACCTGTAGAAACATTGACCTCCCATCATACCCGTAGATTCGGGTTTTAAAACCTTCATTTTCTCTCCAGGACTGGAAATGCCCTCCCTGTCGAGGCATTTGCAACTGCAGCTTCTGTCGTCAGCGTGAGGGCCGCTGCCCAACCGGCATCCTCTTCCCCCTGGCTCAATATCACGGCTTCTCTGACGTCCACTCCTACCTCACCAGGTGACTTTGCAAGACTGTATTTTATATATAAACTGTGTTCCTTTTTTACCCAGATGGTTTGGAAAGTAGTCCCACATTGAGTCATTCAGTCAGGGGATTTTATGATGGCCTTAATAAGTCCTATCAAAGCCTTTTTCCCCTACTGCCAGTCCAACTTAATGAGTGACCTAAAACTTCTCTTTACAGCCTCCGCAACAAACTCAAGACCGAGGTCGATGATGTAGAGATGTAATTTTAACACTAGAGGGAGCCAGTGTTCAAAGGTTTTATTGTGCAATGTTTTACTTTTTCTGAAAATAAAGTTTGGAATTTTAACGTTTTTGACATTATTCTTCAACTTATTTGGACAAAAAAGGGAAAATAATTTGCCTCAAGCTGGACCTTTTCCAGTTACAACTTCAGCATATGAGGAAATGCGAGGAAAGCAGCTGATCTTGACGGTGTAGCCGGTAGAGTGTTTAAAGCATGTGCAGAGGTTTTCACCATCTTCAACCTCTCACTACTGCAGTCTGTAGTACCATCGTGCTTTAAGTCAGCTATCGTTCCAGTACCCAAGAAGAACACGATAAGCTGCTTAAATGACTATCTATAATATATCCCTGCCCACAATTGCCAAATGATTTGAGAAACTTAGCATGTCACACATTAAGGCTGTTATTCCTGCAGACCTCGACCCATAATACGAGGCAAACAGGTCAACAGAGGATGCCATAATAACAGCTCTTCACACAACCCTCACACATCTGGACAGTAGTAACACTTATGTGGGAATGCTGTTTGTGGACAGCTCCACCTTCAGTACAGTTCAACCCCGCAAACTGGTTTTAAAAAAAACTAAGCAACTTAGGACTCAGTGACTAACTGTGCACCTGGATATTGGACTTCCTGAGCAACAGAGCACACCACCTCCATCTGCATTCTGAATGTAGGCGTTCCACAGGGATGTGTCCTCAGTCCCCTCTTATACTCACTTTTAACCATGACTGTTCTTCAATCCACACCAATAACACCATTATAAAATTTGCTGATGACATGACCATTATAGGACTGATCAAGTACAATGATGATTCAGCCTACAGAGATGAGGTTCAGCATCTGAAGCGATGGTGTGACAACAACCTACACGTGATCACAGCCAAGACTAAGGAGATCGTAATCGACTTCAGGAGGACAAAGCGATCTGACCACTCCACCCTCTACATTGATGGAGAGGAGGTAGAAAGCTTTAAGTTCCTCGGGGTCCATATCTCGGCCGGCCTTACCTGGTCCACAAACATTTCCCACCAGGTAGGAAAACCACAACAAAGGCTATATGTTCTTAGGAAGTTGTATCAGGCCCAATTACCACAAAAACTGCTAATCAACTTCTACCGCTCCACCATTGAGAGCCTTCTGACCTACTGCTGTACACTCTGGTGTAAGTGCTGTACTGTGGAGGACAAGAGAAAACTGCAGCGGGTGGTGAGAGCGGTAGAGCAGGCAATTGGCACTTCACTAACTCCCCTCAGAGACATTGGCTGTATCCCAATTCAGGGTCTGCAGCCTTAAAGTCCGCAGCCTCAACGATCCTCAAGGGCCGCGTACTTAAAGACCGCTAAGGCCGGAAGTGCGAGGCTTGTGAAATGGGACGGTCTAGCCTCCGTTGCGCTGCCCAGGTTGCCTAGCAACCATGATACTAACAGCTGGAAACATTTCGTACAGCTTTGTTTGACAGAAATGAAGGAGAAAATCTTTTGTTCATTTGTTTGTTTGTTTCTACATGAGCTTTGATCATTCTCTGATTAAGCTCAGCTATTGAACGGCGTATATTTTAAAGTAAAGGCTTTAAAACCAAGTTAGTACAAACGTCACTAATGTCACATAACTTTGCCGACATGTGGCCAACAGTAATGTTTTAATGTTCTTCGTTATTAAACATTTGCACATAAATAAGTGACATAATATTCAGTACTTACTTAAAGTTTACTCTTCGGGCGCCCCTCATCCGCTGTTTTTTTTTCGGCAAAATTATCCACACCCACCGCCGTGCTATGCATTCTGGGATATGTTGGGCCACGAAGTCTACACCGCCACATCCTTAAAATTCGGGGAAATGAATGAAGGACGCATTTGAGGGCCGCATTTCGAGCAGCCTTCGGATTGGGACAGCCTTCATCGCGTCGCTGTGACGTAATCGGCCTTAAAATGCGGCCTTTAAGGCTGCAGACCCTGAATTGGGATACAGCCATTTATACTGGCAGACTTCAGCAGAGAGCCAGTATCATCATCAAGAACCCCCTCACAGCCTGGATACTGACCTTTCCCCCCCTTCCCTCTGGTAAATGCTACAGGTCGATCAGGTCAAAGACAAACTGACTCAATAAAAGCCTTACCTCCCCCCTGATTGAAGGTTAACTGTGCCGTTAACATTTATGGACATTTCCACTGTATTTATTAACCAAAATTATTATTATAGCAACCGACATTCCTACCTTGAGCTCTACCTGTTACTCAATGTGCACTACCACCGATCACATTGCACCTCATATTGCACACCTACCTGCTCCTTTATAGGGGATCATTTAACTTGTACATATCTGTGTAGATACTTGCACTATTACAGACATTCCCTGTGTAGGCACCTCATAAACATTAAGTCTATTCTTTTTTGTTTTTTTTCTTTTATTCTATATTCTCTTATTCTATCTACATATTTACATAAAAATGCTTTGTGATGACAGATATCGACGCATGATGGCTCAAGTGTGCTGGGGTTACTCTCAGTGCTCGATAACTCTGTATCCTTACACTGCACTGATTAGTGCTTTTGGCTCTGATGTCATGTGCACGTGCTGTGGATCGACCGGTGATCCATGGACAGGAAGTCTGGACTGGCTCTCCATTTAGTTTTACTTTAACAGGCAGTGCAGAAACTGGTTTAAGCCGGTGGTGAGCAGACTTGTCCGGCTCTAACAGAAGAAACACTGCATGAGTAGTGCTGCAGATCAAGTGCAATTCATCAGCCACACCTGTTAACTGTGCAGGACTCCTCTGATGATCCTCTAGGCTGAATGAATAGATTCAGAAATATACTGCAGGAATTAGTTTCTGAACCATTGAAAAATGTGGTCGTTTTTCACAAGCAAGAGCATCAGATAATAAGAATATAATTAAATCACCTAAATTTGATCTTAACCTCACTAATCTACTCTTGGTTGATGCTGATTTCTGATATCGGTCTTGAGATGAAAGGTAGAGTAAAAAAGAAGTGCGTCACGGTCACACCTGCAGTCCTCTCCGGGTCTCGCCTGACGAAGTTCAAATGGGGAAGTAGTGACTCGGTACAAAGTCCCCCAAATTCTTTCAGACAGCCAACACAGCAAAAATGAGCTAAGACAAAGCCAAAAACTGCAATTCTTTCAGTGTTTAGGCAGTTAATCTTCTCATGCTCCTATTTTTGACTGAACTCCAAAATCTTCAGAGGAAGAACCCCCCCCAAAAAAACCCTTTTTCTTTTACTCATTTTCTCACATGCATGACTTGTTTACTTCGTGAGACACATCTATCGACACACATACTTGCAGCTACGCCCCCTCCTGTCTGCTAGCTGTGCATTCTCCTGCACTGAGAAAACAGGTGGGCTGCAGAGGGAGAGATATTTTAGTGCTACAAATGAAAACACTGCAAGCAGCGAGTAAGGACATTCTGTACGATGTCAGCACAACTGATTTACAAAGACATGAAAACGTTTTTTTACTCTACGTTTTCCTATTTTAATCATCTATGGCTCTAAGAAAAGAACAAATATGTAAATATTAATGACAACACTGACCCCGTTTTCATTACTGGACTTTATTAGAATGACACTAATAAAATTAGTAAAATGTGTAAAAGGTTGGTTCAAACCTTTGTGTACAGCAAAGATCAGAGATTCGGGAACACTGCAGTAAAATGTATTTTGGCTGAATTGTGACGTGGATCATTTATTTGCATTTGTTCAAAGAAAAAGTACCACGTAATTTCTAACATCCAGTTCTTAATTGTTGAACGAGACAACTCGTTTCTTCTCACTGTACTGAGAACAGTCTTTAACCTCCTAGGACCTGGCGTCCACATATGTGGACATCACATTTTGGGTTATTTAGACCAAAACACTGAATTTTGCTCTACAAGGGCCTGATATCCACTTACGAGGACATTATACTGCTACTGTTCTATCACAATTTTAAATGAATATCCTCATATGTGGCTCTTAATTTTATTAAAAACAAAAATTAGATAAAAACAAAATCTGGTAATTCTTTGTTTTTACATTCATCAGGCCCCAATGTGACCAAATATCAAAGAGAAATTAAAAATGCATGCCGTGGAAGAGTTCAGGTCTTAGGAGGTTAAACCAAATGCGCAACAAAGTAGTCTGAAGCAGCTTGATTTTCAGTTTCTCACTTTACATCACACAAAAGCCACAGTGGAAAAAAAACAACAACCACATATCAGCAGTACAAAATCCTTCTTGTAATAAAATAAAGGAAAATGGATTGAAATGACATGACAATTAATACTTTTTAAATAACACGTAGAAAAGATTTCTCTTTGTAAACAGACCAAAGGTATGACTTAATAAGGAATGCTATTTACGATTCCATTTGGTTATTTAGAATTATTCTGACATAATAAAATAGAGAAATTTTAACCTGCGTCTATGATATGCTGGAAGAAAAGCAGTGCCAAAAGACGACAACGTGCATCTCAAACCTATTGTAAAAGCAGTTTGTAGTGTTGCATATTTAAGATATAGTATATTAAAATATATTAAGATCTTGGTGTAATTTTTGATCCCCTCTTTTCCACAAAAAAGTCCAGCACAGCCGTTCACATTGAAATTACATTAGTGACGTTAGTTAAGACTCTCAAATGAAGTAAGACTCCGTGCATCTTATTACAGTAGCTAATTATGCACTTACCAAGTCACAGACTGTGACACTGACTGTTGCTAATTTTTTCTTCCACACACACTTTTGTTAAGAAATCATGTGAAGAAGAAAATCTTCACACGCACAAAATAGAAAATATGTTGTTCTGCTCTAGAAAATCTGTCACATTTGATTGTTTATTTAACTCAACATGGAAGCTATGTTTTTACCCAAACAGATGACTCGTGACTGCAAAGCAGTATAAAAA